AAAAAAAAAAAAAAAAAAAAAAAAAAAAAAAAAAAAAAAAAAAAAAAAAAAAAGAAAAACCTAGCTTTAATATCATTGTCTAAAATGTATAAATTGCATATAAAATTTAAGTTACCATGATGATCCCTTGGCAAGAAAAATTAGTGAAATTATGTGTAGGTAAGAACATAATATAAACAACTGCTAAAGTTCTTCACAAAAAAGGGAACAAGAAGAGAAAAAGGCTCCATGGAAGTTTGAGCAACCAAAACCAAAAATGATCAAAAAAATTTCAGCGTAAATGTCAAAGATTGGAGAATTCCAATGCCAAAGTTAATATCACACATGAACAAGGAAGATACAAACTTCTTATACCTTTGTATGACTTTTACAAATGGCAAAGAAAAATAATTAATCCGCCCGCTATTCTCTGAAAGGACGTAAGCTTTATTTTGCGAGAATACTGAAAGTCACGTCGTCTAATATCGGTTCCAGTAAGTCCTGCGTCTGAACCAGTTGTAGTCAGGCAAACCCTGGATCGGACCCAATGCAGCAATTGCAATATCCTGTACAAGTGAAGGATTAAAGTTAAGCAAGGAAACCGTAACCCTCAAGCACTTTTTCGCTACTCTTCCTCAGTTCTTACCCTATCGTAAATAAACCGGTTCGCAACACGTTTTATGGTGCTTGAATCAACAGCATCGATTCTTGCAAACAATTCGGCGAAGGGGATTCTACGGCCATATGTAAGCAGCTGCAACCCAATGAAATATGAGGAATTGGATCATTTTGTAATACCATCAATAAAGCTTGATTAGTTTCACAACCACACCAGAATACAAAGACAAGCATAAGACTGAGGAAAGGACAACGAAAATTCGTCATGCTCCTATTTATTTGATTATTCTTTCCCAAACATACTTGGGCCTCTAAGCCAATTCCAAAATTTCTCGAATCAAGAATTGATCTGCAGAGAATGTTGTTATTTAAGATAATGGCAAGGAGAGGAGTACCCACCTGACGACCGATATCTTCTGCTACAGGACTTGTTCCATCTATGTGAAGCAAAAGAGAAGATTTCAACTGCAGATTGCAACAAAAGAGTATGTCAATGGACACATAAATATTGGAGTCGAATTTGACTACAGAAAGAATTTTTTTAAAAAAACATGCCCACGGGCTATAAGCAAAATATATGGTGATTCTTATGTTGGAGAGCAATGTGGAATGATGATATAGATCACAATTGCATCATCCGGGCACAATGTCTCATCATAAAAACTGGGAATTTACAACTCTGAAGGGATCGGGATAATACTTTTTTACCTAAACAAAAAGGGACCGGAACTGACTTTCATTTCTCTTCACAAAAAGGGACCGGGATAAGACTTGAAACAAGTATGCTTCTATTTCCAATACAAGAAACTAGAAAGATTCTAATTTGCATTTAATTGCTGCAGGATTATGGCCACCTAGACGAAGGATGAAGTCAAATATTAATTTGAAAAAAAGTAACAAGTAACTCCGGCGGTGGAAGTCTATTTCCTTTTACCTCTAGTATTTGGGTACTGGTGAAATACGCTAATTCCGTTTTTAACACACTTGTAGAGATGCAGGTCTTATCACCAGTTCTCCTTGTTTATTTATTTATTTAATTATTTTATTTTATTGTTGGGATTGGGATTTCATTTCCATCTCGCGGACTATTACGTTGCCCAACTTTTGTATGCTAGCTTGTATAAAACAAGTTCATCCCTTCTAATTTCAGCATAATATGAATTTAAGTCATAATAATTTTCCCCCTTATCATTTCCAAGTTCAATTAGTATTATGAAATGGAGGAAATGCCAACTTTAGACGAAGAGGAAAGAGAGATGAAGCATCTACCTGATTGCGAGCACGGGTAACATCAGCTTCTGAAACCCGATATGCTAACTTGGTTGTCTCGTACATTATTGCATAGGCCAGATCATCCAAGCAGTCTGGCTGAAAACATGGACACAATGATAGATATTTCAGCTAAGAAATCAAACTGCAGTTATCTTCTCATTAAAAAAATGAATTGGAAAAAAGAGACAGCAGAAGAATGGACGGACTAGGTTTCATTTTTCATCTCAAAACCTTCCGTGGCTTGTAGAAGGGCACTATTCACAAAGCGCACAAAAAACCCCCTCAAACAGACAACCAAAACCTAACCATCCTCCGTCCTATTATTAAAAAAAAAAAGAAAAAAAGAAAAAAAGAAAAAATAAAAGAAAACAGATAATAAATTCTTCAATTTTCTTCTAGTTCACTCAAGGAATTACCAAAACAAAGCCTCTCTACTAGCTTTAACCTTCAGTTAGCCAATGACACAGGCATCATGAACCAACAACCAAAAGCACTGAGAAATTTTCTTCAAACAAAACCAGGGGAAAATTGCATCAAAAGATTATCAATATCACAATATGGTTCACACAATGCACACAACTTAGAAGGTTGAAAATCAGAATATTATGGGCCTCCAAGCTAATCAATAAGTTGGAAACAAAGATGCATACACCAAGCTTGGGTAACTGTTAAGTCTAACTGTAGTCCCTAATTTAGAACCAGTGCACATAGATAGGTGAGCAACTCCAAAAATTTATTAATTTACAAATAAATAAGATAAATAAAAAATCAATCACACAAAAACGAATTTTTTTTTTTAAAAAAAAAACATTTTATGCAGCTCATCTTAAACTCAAAGATAGAACCAGTATTTTTTCTGTCTATATTAGGATCAAATGGTATTTTCTATTATAGAAAACTAAAATTGAAACGTTTAGAGAGAGAGAAAAAAGAAAGAAAGAAAAGCATCTTGTATTCTTCAACACAGAAATCTCAGACAGCATAAATGGTTCGGGAACTAAAAAAAAAAAATGATGGCATCCATTGTGCATATTTCTAACAGACCATTATAGCAAAACGCTGCAGCATGTGAGGTCCAAGTGGTGCTATACAACCTTACAAGACTTAGCATTTAACTTTGTAATATCCAAGTAAAATAAAGGACATGATACTTGTGTAAATTATCAAGGAATAATTGAAGTACGCATTAAGGAATAGAATATTTCAAGGCCAATGATCCTATTGTGACAATCACCTTTGCAACAGCGTAGACACCAAAAAGACCAGTGTCCTTGTAATTGGTGTTGAAAGCCATCATACTCTCTGCTACTTCATTAATGGCAACTCTTTGGGCCAGCTCAGAACTGTTCATACATTTTTTTAAAAAAGAACAAACAATTATGAATAATGAAAATAGTTATCATTATGAAAATAATTTCCACAGGTAAGTAGTAGTTATAAATTTAAGATTGAAATTGAGACACGGAGATAATAACGAGCTAAAGGAGGAAGGAAAAAATCACCCCATATGCTTTCCACCTCCAGCACTTTTATTCCATGAACCCAACATGGCCTGCATGACCATCAGAGCAATGGAATCTGGATCTGTCCAGGATGCTCCATTAAAAGCAATAGCAAATTGTGCCAAAGGAACATCGTCATCAATTATCCTAACCTGTTTATCAGTGAAAATAAAATTTTGGTATTGTAAGTTATCAATAGAAAGAAAGGTGGATTCCAAATAATATTCTTCTTGTACCTCGGAACCAGTAAAAATTGCTGGCTCCTTAGCAACCAGCTGAGTAGCTGTGGTTGGTTCCGCTGACAGCTTTGTGAACAAATTCTTCACTTGCTCAACGAAATCCTCGTGCTTAACAGCTCCAGAAGCAGCAATAACCTGAAACAGAGAGTGGCAACATATTATTGACAACCATTTTCCAATGAAACCTTGAACAACTATCTTGTTTGAAGAGAGAAGTAGGAGAAAGATACAACACAATCATCACGATCAGTATATACCCTCTTTCAAAGAGTAATTAAACAATGAAATAAATTGATCATACCATTCTTGGTGCAGTGTAATGCGTTTGAATATAGCTTTGAAGATGATCCTTGGTAATTGTCCTGATATTTTGAGCTGGACCAAGAATCGTTCTACCAAGAGGAGTATACTGGAATGCAGTCGCGTGCAAATGGTCAAATATAACTTCTTCTGTTTGCCCTTCAACCTGTGTAGTCAACGTCATAAAACTACATGTCATGAGAATATAAAAACGCAACAGTCCTAAGTCATAGCCAACCCCACTATCAAAAGGAAACCCGACTCTTGCGGTGTGAAGAACTAAATAACCCCAGGTACAATGCCACCAGGTACAAGACTCATTGGCTCTATCAATATATACAAGAAACTAACTTTTCTGATGGGGGAAAAGTTGCGGTTCATGTGATCTTATTTTTATTTCCATCTATAAACATTTCCAAGTAAGAAGAGAACTACGTCGTACTATCCATTACAAACCTCGCAAATCGAACAAATGGAGAATGATTCTTACCTCTTCCATTTCTCTCAAAATCACATCCCGCTCGCGACTAATCCGGTGCTCTTCAAACTTGGAATTCTGCAAAATGTCGGCCAAAATATCCAAAGCCTTGGGCACATCCTTGTCCAAGACCTTGGCATAATACGTAGTCTGTTCCCTGGACGTGTATGCATTCAAATGACCACCCATGTTCTCGATCTCCTCCTCGAGCTGCCTCGCCGTCCGTCTCTCTGTTCCCTTAAAGATCATATGTTCAAGGAAATGAGCAGTGCCATTAGTCTCCTCGGTCTCAAACCTCGAGCCGGCATCGATCCACACTCCAACCGTCGCAGTCCGAGCAGCAAGATTCGATTCAGTTGCAACCCGGAGTCCATTGGGAAGAGTAGTGATGCGGGTTTCAGGCGCGGACAGAATCCGAGTGTGGTCAGTGATGGTCGGATGAGGCGACCCGTATTTCAGAAACCTAGGGTCGGGATTCTCGAGCTGTTTGAGCTTCGATTTCACCCCCTCCGCGAGGCGATCGTAGATCATCGCATTGGGCGGCGGAGGAGAGGGAGGTGGAGAAGACGACGCCACTGCCGGAGAAGTTGACGCCGATCTCACAGCCCGAGAAAAGGAGGCGGAGAACCTCCGGTGAGAGGTGCGAGCGAGGGTGAGAAGATGTTTGATCGCCATGATTGATTTTGCCCCCTTGCTCCCTAGGGTTTGCAGCGGCCACAGAATTGTTCTTTCAGGAAGAAGAAGAAGAGGAACTTGTGGAAAAGGGGCGAGATTGGGAGTGTTTCGCGGGAATGCAAACGGCGTCGTTTCAAGCATACGACACCGTTTTCGTTTTCAACAACCGGCATTTGAGCCTAGTTTCGATGCTGTTAGACCGAATTTTCCTATCTCTCTCCCAAATAATTTTTTTTAATAAATAAAATATTTTAAATTAGTTTGAATTTAATTCTTATAATTTAAAAAGCTATAACAAGGTTGAATTTCTTATAATAAATTACGGTTCTAAATATCTACTAGGTTTAATTGAAAAACCACCCGGATTCAAAATTTGTTCTAATTGTCTATTTCTATCGAACCTATTACCAGCTTCTCTCTAGCCTGTGATGACCCCTCAAGTGAAAGGAAAAGATGATCGAGGGTACCTAGCCGTCGATATCTCTTCTCTATGGCGGGAGGTTTCTTTGGTCTCCTACGAGTGTGTTATCTCTCCATTTCTATATGGGCTTTTGGGCATGGTTTTTTGAGTTATCTCCGACGAGTGTGGGGTATGGGTTTTTCAATTTGGGCCTATATAGTCTTTGGGCCTAGGCAGTATCAGCCCACTATGGTTTTGGGCCTCTGCAGTATTAGTCCACTAGGGTTTTGAGCCCATAGGTCTTTGGGCCTAGGCAGTATCAGTCCACTAGCGTTTTGGGCCCACATGATATTTGATTCGTTTTCTAAATATGCATATTTAAGAAGTCTATATTTTATAATTTATATTTAGAATACATATTTATAAATATGCATCCCTTTATATCATATTTGTATATTTTATACTTCATTTAACACCTGAAATATAAAACAAAATAAAAGATATTTAACGCGATACTTTATTATAAAAATTAAAATTGTAACATTTATTTCGTAAATAAAACTTTTTTTTTAATTATTTATTAGAAACTAAAAAAAAAAAAAAAAAACTTACTAAGACGTTATGTAATAAGTCAACATTAATAAATGACCTAATTTTAATTTTAAGTTTCATAAATAATTGTACGCATAAATAAATGACAACGGCGTACTTTAGCCATCCTTCCATTTTGACTTTTTTAATTCCATTAATTGATTTTTTTTTAATTCCAGTAATTGATTAATTAAAGTTTCGTCAACTTAAATATTTATAACTTATTTAAATGAATGACTCATAATTAATAAGAAATTGATTCTTAACAAATTATTTATTATATTTTTTAATGCATAACAATTTATTATTAAAAAAAAATCACAAAAACTAAATGTAAATTTATATTATTTAACGGGTGCGGCTAACTCTCCGTGAGGTAACGGTATGATTTTCCAAGGTAAAAGAGCCCCTGACCAATCCGAAACAAAAATAAATAGAAACATAGTTCCAATAAAGGGAACCCACGGACCATATTCTTCGCCAATTTGGGTTTTGCTCACGTTTCGAATGAATTCAAGGACATATTCGAAGAAATTCTGACCGTCAGTAGGAATGGTTTGTGGATTACGAACAACTATAATAGCTGAACCTAATAAGATAGCAATTACAACCCAAGAAGTAATAAGTACTCGGGCATGTACTTGGAAACCTCCTATTTACTAATACAAATGTTGGCCGATAGTAATGTTCACTATAAAAATTAACAAATTCAAAAAAAATATAAAGATTAAATTGTTATTAGTCGAATTTTATGGACTAAATAGCAAATTATTAAAAATGAAAAAATTTAGAGGCTAAAAATAAATTATAACAAAAAAAAAAAAAAAGTCAAAATGTGATGAATATAACGTAAAAGAAAAGAAAAAATAGATCTCGGCGTTTCCCCTCCATGTGACAGTAATTTTGTTATTTTTATTTTAAAGTATACAATATATATAATTATTTATAAAATTTCAAGACAAAAATAATTTCAAATTATTAATTAAGTTATTTAAGAAATAGTTAAAAATATTTAAAATCATAATTTTAATAATTTTTAAAAATAAATCTAGACATATATTGGTAATAAAATAAATAATGATATTGGCAATGAGTTAAAATTTAAATAATAATTGTGGAAAAATCAACACTTTAATTTCCTTTAAAAAATAATTAAAAAAAAGAGACTTTTTTGAAAATATAAAAAGGAGGCATCATTAATTAAGGTTTAAGGTTGTGGGTTTTGGCCTCTAATTTTATTACGTTTTTTATTTTTATTTTTAAATGAATCTTAAAATTCACTCAAAATTAATTTTCTGAGTCTCCAAGCAAGTCCATGCTTAGATTTCAAGTTTTCTTCTCTTTTCCCTAATTTTTTTAAAATTAAAAAAAGATAAATAATTATAGTATTCACGGATGATGTTGGAGTCTTAATCAATGATGATTATAATTATAATTGGTCAATTTACACCAAAATAAACACATATTTAACGTAATGATTTTTCTTTATAAAAAATGACATAAAGGAAAATATTTACGGAGAGTGAAAAAAAAAAAACAACTGAAGCTACAAAATTTAGAGTAAGAAGCGTCGAGATGCTATGAGCTAGCAAAAAGACGTCACGAATCATGCTACTCGATGCTACGAGCTAGTAACAAGACATCATGAAATCAATGCTACTCGATGCTATAGTTTCACTGTGCTTAATGCTAGTAGCTTCTCAACACTATAAACACACGTGACGAACGCTAGAAATGCTGTAGCGTTGAGATGATACGAACTTGCAAAAAAATGCAATGACTAAATTCTACCCGACATTACGACTGCACCATGCTCAACGCTCGACATGACTCCATTTTGTAAATGTATATGACCAACAAGTTTTATATGTAGCATCTCGACGCTATGAAGATAGAGTCCTAAATTGATTTGAAGTTTTAATTTAATTATATTTTTGGATTCCCGAACCGAGAATTATCGATCTCAAACACGAGCTAGTTTAGATATATTACCATTAAATTAATAATTTAAGCATAAAAAATTTAAATAAAAATGAAAAGGAACAATTTAGGGAGAAAAGGCTATGGTAACTTTTTTTTTTTTTTTTCTATGCTGTGAATGTTAATTTTACGGTTCTATCCCTCTCGGCGTTTCAAACGTGTGAAGACTTGACAGCCCCACCGGAACATGCAACTGCAAATTCCTTTGTCCAAATAAAAAATAAAAAATGAATGTACTTAATCGTCTTTTCCTATTTGTTTGAGGGCATTTTCTTTGAACACAATTTGCGTATTTAAAACCAGCTTCTTCTTCCTCCATTTTTCATTCTGAATCTCTCGCACGAAGTTTCAGAAACCAATTCTCTGAGAGAGGTAATGCTTTCAACTCTCTTTTCTTTCAATTTCCTTTCCACATTTCTCATTCATGTTTTTCGTTTAATTTCCCTCAAATTTCCTTCTGATTCATTCATTGAATTCTTCGGATTTTCAATTCCTCTTCTCCTCGTCTTTGTGTTGTTCGGCATTCGGATCTGTTTCTGATTGCATGTTTTCGTTCTTGATCTGCGATTTGTTTCGTCTTGTTGCTTGTCCAGTTGCACTGTTAGTATGATTCATGCCAGATCTGACTTAATTCTGTGGATTTTGTTCGAATTGTTTCTCCACTAGTGTGGTCGTCTTCTGATCTTAGATCTTCTGGAACTTGTTTGGTAATTTGATTGGATCTGCATGATTTGATCGTAATTAGAAAGGAACGTTAATTTGTATTTAGGAAGGGCTCTGGTTATGATAACTGGTTTGATGTTTTTGTTGACTGGTGTTGCTTTTAACTACCGGCTGTCCTGCATGCTGTTTTGCGCTTTCTTCGTTATTTGTGATTCATTGAGGTTGAATGGAGATGTCAGTGTTCTTTAAATTATACTCCTATAGATGCATCATTGATGATTCTGATTCAGCTGCATTCGGGGTGATTTTTGTTCGTTTTCGTGTTGAGATCTTTGTTTAGATATTTTATAAGACAGGAGTAGAGCTTTCTAACGAAGTCAAATCCTCTTGGTTCGATGACATAGTTTCCTTAGCGAGAAATTTTCTTTTATGATTTGTCCTTATTCGTATGGTATAGAATGATTTTAGGTGGAAGACTTAGTGACGTTCTCATAGTTTTAGTTTTCATTCCCCTTATATTGCAACCACTATTTTGTCCAGATTATAAATTGAAAAGGCAAAAATGGTGAAGATCTGCTGCATTGGTGCGGGATATGTCGGAGGACCTACAATGGCTGTTATTGCACTCAAGTGCCCGAAAATTGAAGTGGCTGTTGTGGATATCTCAGTGTCTCGCATCAATGCCTGGAACAGTGACCAGCTCCCAATCTACGAGCCAGGTCTTGATGGCGTCGTGAAGGACTGCCGTGGCAGGAACCTCTTCTTCAGCACTGATGTGGAGAAACATGTCTTTGAAGCTGATATTGTTTTTGTCTCCGTCAACACTCCCACAAAAACTAGGGGTCTGGGAGCTGGTAAAGCTGCAGATCTCACTTATTGGGAGAGCGCTGCTCGTATGATTGCCGATGTATCAAAATCTGACAAGATTGTTGTTGAAAAATCGACTGTCCCAGTGAAAACTGCTGAGGCCATTGAAAAAATCCTTACCCACAACAGCAAAGGAATAAAATTCCAAATCCTCTCAAACCCTGAATTCCTTGCTGAAGGAACTGCAATTAAGGATCTCTTTAACCCAGACCGTGTCCTCATTGGAGGGAGGGAGACCCCTGAGGGTCAAAAGGCCATCGGTATGCTGAAGTCCGTTTATGCTCATTGGGTACCTGAGGAGCGGATTCTCACTACCAATCTTTGGTCTGCTGAGCTCTCCAAGCTTGCTGCCAATGCTTTCTTGGCTCAGAGAATTTCATCTGTTAATGCCATTTCAGCTCTTTGTGAAGCCACTGGTGCAGATGTTTCTCAGGTTGCCTATTCTGTTGGCACAGATTCCAGAATTGGACCAAAGTTCCTCAATGCCAGTGTTGGTTTTGGTGGATCTTGCTTCCAAAAGGATATCTTAAATCTAGTTTACATCTGTGAATGCAATGGCCTTCCAGAGGTAGCAGAGTACTGGAAACAGGTGATCAAGATCAATGATTACCAGAAG